CAGTTGTAATAATGGTCATAATGATAGAGATGTTGATAATATTGATAATAATAATAATAATAATACTATTGATAATTATAATCGTAGCAGCAGTAGCAGTAACAGTACCATCATTATCAAAACAATAATAATAATAATGGTAATGGTGACAACAATGATAAGACATATATTAATAACACCAATGGTATTGACACTGATAGTGATATTGACAATAATAGTGATAATGATGATATGATGATGTGGTGATGATGATGATGATGATGATAATAATGATAAGGATAATGATAATGATGATGATGATGATGAAAATAACAATTATAGTAATAAGGATAATAATGATAGCAATAATTATAATGCTAATAATAATAATGATAGTAAAGATAATGATAGCTACAATTATATATATAACGATATTGAAATTGATAATAATAATAAAAATTACAATGCTAATAAAAAATAATTATAATAATAACAATAATGAAGTAATAATAAAGTAATAATAGAAAATAATGATAATCATAATGCAGATAATGATCATGAAGATAATAATGATAATCATAATGGAGATAACGATCATAAAGATAATAATGATAATACTAATAACAATAATATTAATAATGATAATGATAATCGTTTTTATGACACGACCTCCCTCGCAAAGGCTCGGACGCCGCCCTGGTTCCGGCAGGTGGCGGCCGTTGTCCCGAATCGACGTGCTGGCTTTTAATATCGGACCACGCGCGATAAGCTTAAAAACAGTACTACTACTACTACTACTAGTAGCAATAACTATAATGATAATAATTACAAAGATGATAATGATGATGATGATGATGATGATAATGACAATACAAATGATAATAATTCCTATACTTCAAATGATGATGATACTGATGAAGATGATGATGATAATAATAACAATGGTTATAATGAAAATAATGATAATTATTATCTTATTATTATTATTATTATTATTGTTATTATTATTATTATTATTATTATTATTATTATTACTATTATTATTATTATTATTATATTATTATTATTATTATTATCATTATTATTTTTGTTGTTTTTATCATCATTCATTATGATAATTATCATTATTATAATAATTGTTATTATTATCATTGTTATTAATACTATTAATGGCATTATGAAAAATATGGCAAAGACAAAGATAATATTAAAAGCTGATAATATCAATGATGATAATAATAGTAATGATAATGTAAATGATGATAATAATAATGATGACGATAGTAACAATAAAGATAATAATTATGATGATGATGGTGATGATAATAATAATAATAATGATAACAATAATGATAATAATAATAATAATTATAATAATAATAATGATGATGATGATAATAGTAATGATAATGATAATGGTAACAAAGATAATGATAATGATAATAGTAATAACAATAATAATAATAATAATGGTAATAACAATACAAATTATTATAACTATTATAATTGTAATAACGACGATAATAATAATGATAATAATAATGTTAACAGTAATAATAATAAAAATAATATTAACAATGATGATGATAGAAATATTGATAATAACGATAATGAGAATAGAAATAGTAATAATGATAATGTTAATAGTAATAATAATAATAATAATAATAATAATAATAATGATAATAATGATAATATTAATAATAATGATAGTAATAATAATGATAATGATAATAGTAATAATAATAATAATGATAATAATGGTAATAATAATACAAATTATTATAACTATTATAATTGTAATAATGACGATAATAATAATGATAATAATAATGTTAACAGTAATAATAATAAAAACAATATTAACAATGATGATGATAAAAGTAGTAATAATAACGACAATGAGGATAGGAATAGTAATAATGATAATGTTAATAATAATAATAGTAATGATAACAACAACAATGATAATAATAATAATAATAATAATAATAATAATAATAATAATAATAATAATAATGATAATAATGATAACAATGATAATGATAATAATAATGGTAATTGTAATAATTATAACAATTATAATAAAAATAATAATAATAATAATAATAATAGTAATAATGATAACAATAACAATAATAATAACAATGATAATGATAATAATAATGGTAATTGTAATAATTATAACAATTATAATAAAAATAATAATAGTAATAATAATAATAGTAATACTGATAACAATAACAATAATAATAATAATAATAATAATAGTAATAATGATAATTCTGATAATAATAATAATAATGATAATAATAATAATGATAATGATAATGATAAAATTGAAAATAATAACATCAACAATGATAAAATAAAAAATCATAACAATAACACTAATAATGATAACTACAAAAAAAAAAGTAATTATAATAATGATAACACCACCACCACCACCACCAATAATAATGTTAATAATGTTATGATAATAATAATAATAATAATAATAATAATAATAATAATAATAATAATAATAATAATATAATAGTAACAACAATGATACAAATGAAAATGCTTATTATAAACAAAATTATGATAAGGATGATAATGGTAATAATGATAATAATAATAGTTATAATAATAATAAAAGATAATAATAATGATAACAATGATATTAACAACAGCAGCAACAATAATGATAATAGTAATAATGATAGTAATGATAATAATAATAATAATAATAATAATAATAATAATAATAATAAATAATAATATGAAAATTATGAAAATAATGAAATAATAATAATAATAATAATGATAATAATAATAATAATAATAATAATAATGAAAATTATATGAAAATTATGAAAATAATGATAAAAATAATATTTATAGTAATAATGATAATAAGAATGATAATAATGATAATAATAACAATAGTAATAATAATAATAGTAATAATGATAATGTTGATAATAATTACAACAATAATAACAACAGCAGTAATAATAGTGATAATGATAATAATAATAATAATAATAAAAATAACTATAATAATAATAGCAGTAGTAGCATTAATAACATTAATAACACTACAAATGATATTAATAATTATAATTAAAATGATGATAATGATGATGATTATGATGATGATGATGATAATGATGATGATGACGATGATGATGACGATGATGATGATGATGATGATGATGATGATGGTGATGATGATGATAATAATATTATTAATGATAATGAAAATAAAAATAATACCTATAACAATGTTAATAATAGTAATACCAATAATAATGTTAATAATAGTAATAATAAGGATAGTAATAATAATATCAGTAATAATAATAATAATGATAATAATAATGATAATAATAATAATGATACTACTTTTGCTGCTACTACTACTACAGATATCCATAATAAGTTGGCATGAAAATAATGACCATTATAATAATAATGAATTAGCACATAACAATGGAAATGATATCATATGATGCTCTTCTAATGCCTGTATATATTAATGAATCATTCCTCATATAAATACATATACCATAAGTAAGCTACAACTCTAATAGAAGGTATTGTGAATGAACATTGAACTGTTGCCATTTCCTTTCATGAAATGTCAGTCTACACAAGATGTCTCTACTGTAACAGTGGGGAAACAGGGTACAGGTTGATACACAACTGGCGATTCAGCGCGGACGTGGCTTCGGATGTCATAATCTGGGACAGTAAGGCTTCCGTTGCGTTAAATAGGTGGAAATTCAATGATTTCCTTAAAGCGACTTGCTGGAAAATGGATTCTGATATGTTTTATGATGTATATATGAATCATACATTTATCACATAAAAAAAATATAACACACAAACACACACACAGACACACACACACACACACACACACACACACACACACACACACACACACACACACACACACACACACACATATATGTATATGCATATATACAAATGGACATGCATGCAATTCTTTTAGATAAAGAGGATAACTGCATGGGTCATGAATTCCACATTGTGGCCCTTAAATACGCCCCATACATGGACTACTCACGTGATAGCGAACATCCGGGCTCTCTGCTGCAACCGCTGGACTCGCTCGATTACAGGATCCTTCGGACATTAGCTCAAGTTCTCAACTTTACGTATGTTTTATACTAATGGAAGTCCTTTGTTAAGTTTGATTATCCCGTTGAATTTAAGGTAGTCTTGGAAGTATGGGACAAAAAAAGGTAATGAAGTTCATTGCCTTCAGCTATTCGATCCGAGAGCCATTGGACGGGCAGTGGGGCGTCCCCAAGGAAAACGGGAACTGGACAGGCATAGTCGGGACGCTGCAGCACGAAATGGCCGACTTTTCGCTCGACCTGACTCCCACTGACGACAGAGCTCAAGTGATAGAGTTCTCGAGGGTCTACATCACGGAACCAATGATCATCGTTTCGGCAAAGCCGAGGCCCCTTCCGAACTACCTGTCGCTCGTCAGACCGTTTCCTGGTAATCGGGGCTTTTGATGAAGTATTGATCATGATAAAAGCAAAAGGGATCTTATCTGGTACCATTTTATGTTATCCTGTAAACAAAATATATGAATTTAGTTAATACGTTTTTATGATTAACACACTCTTTCCATGTTTTATGTCTGATCACTGTAGTAATGCGGCATAAAACAAAAGTTTCATTAGAGAGTTTTCCGACATTTCAAACTAGTAAAGGATATTCTACTTTTTTTTCAAGAGCCAGTCAATGCTATAGATGAGAAGTAAATTCATGTTTTTTATACGGAACCTGTTTTTTTTTTTTTTGCAGTAATGATCTGGGTCCTACTGATACTTAGTGTCGTCGGCAACGGAGTAATGATGTGGCTACTGCAGAGAGGAAGTGCGTCTCATAACAGCGGGAACAGCCTTCAAATCAGCTTCGCCCTTCTGTACAGCTGGGGCGCCGTGGTGGAGTGTCCACCTGGCGACACGCCCAAGGGTTCCTCGGGACGG